TGGTGAAATAAAAATGTGCCAGTTTTGAAGCTTTTTCTCTTTTTTTTTTCCCCTACAGGTTACTCAAAATGATATTGTAATGGCTGAAAGGCTCTTTGGCCTTTTGGACTACATAGCATCTTCTGAGCTGCCACACTATCGTATGCTTTCACTACTTGGAGAATCTAGGTAAAAATAGTTGATAGAAGAATATAAAAACCTTTTTAGCTCAACAGTTAGTGACTGAAATAGAAGTAAATTTGTCTGAGAGAACAGAGGAGTAAGTTATTTCTGGAAATCCTTCAGTTCCTTTTTTTGCGGAAAATGTTGTTCTGTCCTGTTGATAAGCTTTAACTGTAATTATTAGAATATCAATTTCTTATGGAAATAGAAATTTCTGTCAGGGTGGAATGTGTCATCACTTGAACAATATAGCATTGTGATGATTAGCAATCTTAGAAACAAAATATTATCATATGCAGTTGAAACTTCAGAGAAACTGTGTATAGGCAGAGTACAGTGAACTGAACTGGAATTTGGACAGAATGCGTAAGTTGTTTCCACTGTCATGAGAAATCTTTTCTATGTTTTAAAAAAAAAAAATCAGAAAATGTGGTGGGTCCCTCCGCCTTTCTCAATGTGGAAATATTAGCATTTTCTCATTTATGAAGAAAAAAGCTTTCTCAAACTTATGCGAAGTCTATTTGGTAAGGTAAGCATGTGCACACAAATGCAGTACTTGTTTAATTCTCTGACTGTGCTGGTACTTGTGAAAATTTATAGGCTTTCATACTGAAGACAGACTGTTTTTTAGGGCTCTTGCTGTAAGAAAATGGTGTTTAAAAAGGTTATTTTTAGTCTTCTACAAATAACTTAAAACTTTGTCTTCTTTGCAAAACTTCCTATTAAGGACATGCAGTGTAATACATGTCAGAGCAAACTGTACTGAAGTGTATTAATGGAGGATTATCTAGACTCATCTATATATTTTAAGTGAGTTGAGGATACAATAAACGGAGAGCTCATAAACTACATGTTCAAAGGCTGAGAGGAAAGAGAAAGACCATTAGATAACTAAAACCATCTGCACTTTTAAAAAGTTCCCAATAATTAAAACTGTAAATCTTTTTATTATCTTTTCCCAGGCGGAAACAATTCCACTATCTGCTAGAGGGAAAGGGAAAGAAATCTGGGATTGGAAATGAGGAAAGTAATGATAACAGAGCTGGAGGAGAAAGCACAGCTCGAGCCACATTGAATTACAGCACAAAGGACTTTCATATGGAAAAGCTTGAGGTAAGTATATCATTATAAAAATATTTTCTTCCTTTATTATGCCACTTTTGTCTGTGACCCATAGAATTTGTCAATATATCAAATTTCAGCAGGGTTCTTCAAAATGGCAATTTTTAAATATCCCTACTTACTGTATTTACACTTATTATTCAGTAGTTTGATCAAGCAGGCGTTCCATCTAGCTAATTTATGCCAGAATACAGGTTCATGGACCATTTGTACCCTTAAAGATGTGGTTCTGAGCAGTGCTGTGGTCTCATAAATACCTTCTCCCCTATGAGCCTTACTTTCATAATGAAATAGTCCTATGTTAGTCGTATGTAAGAAGTGAGCATAGCTTTTTTTCATGAGGATAAATAATTTTGCATGTGCTGGGGATATTTCATGTATTTAGAAAGTCAGAAAGTATATCACAGAATGAATTGATGAAGAACACCTTCAGAGAAGATTAGAGGTGGCATAGACTACATCTACAGTAGTAAAGAGCTGCCTCCTAGTTATTTAATAAGTTAAAGAAAGGTAATAAATCAGTAATAAAATTGCAGGCTGACTTGTTTCAGCCAAGTGCATCAGTCAGTCTTTTTTCAGCGCATGTTTTTGAACTCCTTTGCTTGGGCAAAATGAGATACTTCTCGGGGAGGATGTGCTTCTTGGGGAGGATGTGCTTCTCGGGGAGGATGTGCTTCTTGGAGCCACCATCTCCTGTCTGAGCAGCCTCCACAAGTTCCAGATACTCTGCCCTGTTCCTTCCATTTGTCCCTTTCATTGTAGCAGCAGAGGTAAAGCTTACTGTGTGAGAAATGTGGTCAAGTTTAGAAATGCAGTGTGCTTAATTATTGCATTGCATTTTTCTTATCTCAAATAGATCACATGAAAAAGAGACAATGACTGCACATATTTGGAAAGATTAAATTTGAGTAAAATTTTAGTTTCAAAAGGAGTGATATATGGCTGCTGTATAGCAGACAGCCATTAAAACTGAGTGTCACAGAGTGAGCCAGAGAGGGATTCCTCTTGGCCTTTGCCATGGAAGAAGCACTGTAATACAATAGTTTTATGTCCAGTCCATTAAAAATACGCATTTTTTCTCTCCTCACAGTGTACTGATTCATACCTAGTCCATCATTATAGTGTTATGTATTTGACTGCAGATGTTACAGGGTATCACAACAGAAGAGCCAAGGCAATAAGGCCCAACTCCTGATTCCCATCAGGAGTTATTTATTGAAATAATATGTTTTTCAGTGAAACAGTTGGAAAGTATTTTTCTGTCTTATCTCTCATTTAAAACAAACAAACAAAAATCCACTGTTTTGCTGGGCCATAGCATGACCCAACGTTTTTGGCTATGCTATAAATCAAATTAATTAAGTATTTAGCAACAGCATAACTGTTCAAAGTTGTTATGGCTTCTTATGGAGCAATTAATATTGTTTACAAGTGACTAAAATGCAGAGCCATTTGTTGCATTAAGCGTTCCCCTGTTTTTATTGAAAAAAGGTTCAGGCTACTTCAGTGCTGAATATGTTCTGTGTTAGCTCTGCACATGCCAGTGTTCACCAGGGAGAATGTGCAAGGGGTGTATACTAGCTTATTTTTCTCCATGACAGTGTTCTTGTTAGGGCAGGTAGCTGTATATTCACAAAAAATTATGAGGGAAAGAAAGAAAGAAAGAAGTCTGGAACTTTATATTGTCTATGTTTTTTTCCTTGTTATCTCAATAGATAAAAATGGTAATGCTGTTAAGATGTTTACATGGCTGCTTCAAAGTAAATTTTAGTTAATGAATATTTAAACTGTAATAAGATTACATGGCCTTATTCATTAAAGCTGAAGTGCAATCTAAAATTAGTGGAGAAATGTGCGATGACCTCTTTTCATGTCAGTTACTCTTTTCTTCATTAAATGTTCTTGGTTGTTTTATAGGTTTGTTCTGGTTTAACCTTTCTTCCTTTGTCTTTTACAATGTGTAATGGTTCTCCCATCCAGGATATCAAAGAAAGAAGAACGCTTTGCCAGACATACGTCGAGAACTTAGTGAAAGAAGCTGCTGACATCAATATGAAAAATGAGTCCTTGCAGAAGCTCTGGCCTCAGATGTTCATTGAGCTTGTCAGAGACGCAGTGGTAGAAATACGCAATAAAAATTCCTATATGAAACTCTGCTTGCAGCGGATTGCTGATCAAAAACAGTAGACTTAAGGCCTGTTGTTTTTGCAAGCGTTTGGTTTCAGTATTGTATAATGTTTTACAGTCTTAAAACAATATAACATAAAATTACCATCAATATAGAAAACTTCTCTCTTCCCCTTCTCCCCCTGCTTCTCCGGCTTTGGGATGCCTTTAAATTTTAATGAACTTTGTTTCCACTGCTTTCTTCTTGGTAGTTTTCAAACAAACTTTACTTGTATAAAGCTTTAACAAGGCTTATTTGTTAAATAAGCATTTGGCTGAAGTAATAGCATTGGAGTAAGTTGGTGCTTATGCCATGGCATAAAGTTCTAATAAGCTCTTCGTTATTTTTTTCTGCTACCCTTTTTGTTCTAATGCATTGATTTCAAGGAACCTATTTATTATTTTTTATTGAATACTTTAACCTGATTTTGACTATTTGCTGCTGTTTAAAAATATCAACATTTTTAGGGTTTTTTTAATGAGCAGAAGCTAATAAATTATTGTTTTTACACCCTGAACTTGATCAAGACTGTGTATCATTTAATTTGATAACTTATAGAATGTTTCAGATCATTATCATAGTGCTCAGTACTGTCAACAGTAACTAGCAGACTAACAGCCAGGTGGTTAGCAGGAGATGGGAATTCACAGGAATGTTGGAATTATAGAGTCAGCCTGCACTCAGGTGGAGCTGTGGCATTAATATTGTCAGAAGTGACCTGGTCACTTACATGTTATAGTGATGCCCTTTAAGGTTAGCAAAGGTATCCATAGTGCTAAACTTAATTTTCAAACATGGCAAGTTTGGTTTATGTTATATCAGATTATACCTACATGCTGTAGGTAGTTGCTCTTCAGGTTAATAGTTGTTTTTCCTTACCTGAAAAATGTGATATATAGCAGTCATCTTTACAGAATTTAATAGAGGTTAAATCACTTGAATTCTAAGGAAATACTAACGGTCCTGTAGAAACTAGTCTAGCAGTTGATAGAATTTAATAGAAAAACAATCTCTCCTCCAGGCTCTTTGAGCCATTTCATGGAATTTATAGCTAGATGAGTATGTGTGATAGGATTTTCTTTTTTTCCATTGGAAAATTGTGCTCTCAGGTTTTATGGTGCTTTTTATTAAGGGAACAAGTTAATTGAGGGGGGTGCTGCATGTGTTCGTGGGTGCTGGGGAGGGCATGGCTGGTGTTTGTGGGTGCCTGACTGCTCTGCTCTGGGCTCTTCTCCAAGGTGAGCGCGTCCTGCAGCTCCCAGCCGCCGCAGCTGGTGTCCAGGAAGGGAGCAGGTCACGTCCAGGAAGATGCTGTAGCCCGGGTGGAGGCCGGCGATGGCGGCGAAGGAGGGCCAGTCGTTCTGCAGCCCCTTGAGGATCACCTGGACCTGCTGCTTCTGGGAGATGTGCAGCTGAACGAGGGCCAGGCCGGGCTCCTGCGGGAGAAGACGAGGCCACTGGGGCGCAGAGGGCTGAAGCACCCAAGCTCCTGGGCCCAAGGCTCCTTGCACCCCTCGAACCTGGAATTTGCCACCGAGAGGAGCTTGAGGGGCTGAGAGCTGCTGGCGTCTAAGGGCCAGACTCAGGTGCACAGCCCTGCCATGGTGCCCTGGGACCCGGCCCCTCTTCCCTGCAGCCACCTCGGCCCTGCCTGGCCACGGGGACCAGCCCAGACAGAGAAACCCACTGTGGGAGCTGAACCCCAGCCCTCTCCGTGCACCCCACAGGCACCTTTGCCTCCTCTGACTCTCAAAGGAAGTGCCCAGGGTGACCATGCAGGACATAAGACGTGGTAACTGCATGGCACAGCTCTTGCTGGGCCTTTGCTAATGGAGCTGCTCAGTTCAGCCTTGCTGGGGCTGGTAGCCCCTTCACGCTGGCCCGTAGCCACATCGCCACCAGCACCACGGCCCAGGCTTGCCTGGGAGGCTCGGTACCACCAAGCTAGACATGCACACAGGTACCGGTGCTGCTCCTGGCACATCCTGCCTGGGATAATTCTGCCTTGGCCTTTGCAGATCAAACCCATCATCTCCTGGACTGTGAGGGAGAAGCGGCTGCCGCACAATGAGGACTCCTACACGTTCTGGCTCTTCCTGCAGAAGGACAAGGAGCCGATGGTCCACACTACTCCATAACAGAGCTTGAAGGCATCCAGTGAGCCCAGCGCTGCTTCCCCCTGGCCCTTGCAGCAGGACGGTGGTTTCAGCAGCACTGGGACATGGGACACCGGCCTCCATAAAGCAGTCGCAGAGCTAGAGCTGTGTGCAGGCAGCGGCACGGGGACCCAGCTGCCCTGTGAACGCGGCCCCACCAGAACCAGGACTTGGCTTCATCCCCTGGCAGATGCAGACGGTGGTGAGGAAAACCGGTGCTCACGGGTGGTGAGCTAAACGCGCCCAGTTAGTGGTGCCCCGGCTTCGCAACAGTGGCCATAAGCACGTGTTAGCAGTGGGATCATCTCCATAGCAATGTGTTCTCCCAGTTTTTCCAGTACCCTCCAAGAGGAGCACAAAACCGGGCCTCTGGTGTCGCAGTGGCAGCAGCCCCAAGGGTTTCTAAGGCCCATGGGAGCAGCAGTCCTTTCCACTAAGACTGTGTTTCAGCCCATAGTGTTTTGTGTAGTGCCATCTAAAGGCAAATGTTTGCACCTGTGCTGTCAGCAGGATGTGACCTGTGCTCTGGGGTGTTGTTTGCTGTTGGAAATGGCAGTTTCAGCAGAGGTTAAGTGCAGGCACTGTGTTTTCCCCAGTAAAGGAGGATTTCCAGCATCCCCTTGGTCAGAGGCTCCCAAATTGCTGCCTCAAGCAATTTCTCTCTTCCCAACTCTAGATTTGGCTCCTTTTGCAGATGATATTAATGCAGCTACCTTGAAATTACAGTCCGAGACGGTTTCTCTGGGCAGTGGGTTGGAAACCTCTGTAGTGCTGGGGCTCAAGAGCGGGAACAGGGACAGCAAAGCCCTGGGACATGCTAAACCTCACTGCACTTGCTTCCCTGTTTGTGCAGCTGAGTTTTGAATGAGCCAACTGAAGGGAGTAAGGAAGAAATAAAATAGTAAAAGGGGAGGCTTTGCGGTGTGTGGGACTATCACAGAGGCTGGAGCCTGGCAGGGCCCTTCATGCTGCAGCACTGACGTGTCCTCCTTTGGCAGGAGGGAGCTCTGAGCTGAAGTTGGCATCTCCTGCTTTCCTCTCCCCTTGGCGGCAGCTGAGCTTTGGATCTGTGTGAGCTGCTTTGTTACCCCTGGAAGGCCTTACCCATTAACCAGCTCGTAATTAAGCAAATGCAATTTGCTTATTTGGTACCCCTTTCTTGCTGAATGGGAGCAGGAAAGGGCAGGCTGCTTTAGTCGCCCTCCCACAGCGCAGCCTGGCTCAGTGACACCCTTCTAGATGCGGAGGGGTGACAGGCGGGTCAGGGGCTCCCTGGTGCTGGTGTGAGACCCTTAGCAGAGCCGTGTTCCTCAGACAGTTCCCTGGGTTTCAGTGTTTAAATTCCCAAGGCAGCTGATAGCCCCAGAGGGCCTTGGCCTTAGGTCTTCCCTCTGCGTAAGGGGGAAGCCCCCGAGCCTGCAAGGGTCTGTCCCCTGTCCCGGGGCTCCCTGCACCCTGCATTTCTGATCCGAGCCTCCCTGCATCCCCCACGTGCCGCTCCCGGCCCTGCTCCGAGCGCTCCTGCACCCCCTGCCCCTG